CTCCAGTGAAGATTTACAGCCTCGGAAACCCTGCACAGAGTCACTATGAGTCTGAACCGACTCCACAGCACATAACAACAACAACACATATACATATACACACAAAAATTAAATTTTGGCTTCTAATGTATTATTAGTATAGACCTGATTTTAAGACAGTCTTCGATTCCACGAGTTTGGCCCCAATCCACAATACCAAACATTAAAACAAGCAACCTGTCCAATTGAGTAATCTTAAGAACCGACACTACAGATGGGAATTAACACACAAAAACTTACTTTATATTGACAACGACAAACAAGCGGCTCTGAGGGTTGAGAAGTGTTACACTCCTTTCACAGACTTAGTAATGACGCGAAAGGGAACTTTAGGAAGTGACACACCCAGGGCAGACTGCCACGTTAAGGATACAACTCTTTCGAGGTGGAGAGGACTCTCGCCAGTTCTGACTGCTGCAGAATCCGGATCCCGGGCCTCCCCCCAGAGGAGGTCTACTCCCGGGCTTGCCTCCTCGCTCAACCCCTCCTCGTCCCCGACTCCAGCGACTCCCACCCCGATAGGGTCTGCCCCGAAAGCGGAAACGGTCCAAGGCGATGTGACTCCGCTCCCAGAAAGACGGTCGGGTACTGCTTTCGGACAGTGAGCTCGAAGGCATCCGCACGGAGGGCGGGTGAGACCGGAACGGCTCTTTGGGTCGGTAGCTACTGTGTCCCCTGAGGTGGCCCCGCTCCGACGCGTGCCGCGAGCGTGAGAAATTCCTCAGCTGCTGTTGAGAAGACGACGACGACGACGAGGAGCCACCGCCTCCGCCGGATCCACCGCCCCGGGTCGGATGAGGAGGCCTCCGCCGCGGATACGATAACAGCCCACCGCCACTGCTGCTGCTACTGCTCCGGCTCCGGCTGTTATTATCGTCGTCGCTAATCTCCCCATCTTCTAGCTCACCTTCTTCCTTGGGTGAGAGGCCGCTGGAGGCCGGGGCCGGAGTATCTGCGGTCGCCATCCGGGGAGCAGTGCCTTCCACACAACCTTAGCCCTCAAGTCCAAGAATCCGCCCGACAATTGCCTTCCTCCTTGCCTCCCTTACTTCCTAACGGGCCCGGTCGGTGCGGCCTCACCCTACTCGGATACCTAGCGGGCTCTGCTCCCCAACTTCCCCGCTCAGCTCTTTCTCGCCGGATTGTCGCAACCCAAATCCCTTCCCTAGCGCCCCCTTGCTTCTCAGCGATCCGGGATCTTCCGCCTAGCCTGAAAGGGGCTCTGGAAGTGGCCGTGCCTAAGACGTCACTTCCTGCAACATACAGGAAACAAAAGTCCCAAGTTCACGCGTTAACTCCGCGATGCTCTGTGGGACTTGCGGTCTTTGGGTCGCTGCTCGCGTTCGTCTTCTCCATCTGCAGTTGACACCTACGCCAGGACTCAGGATTGGGACAGCGGGGTGTGTGCCAGAGTGGGCGTACCTGTTGCTAGTTGCTGTCTTGAGGGAGCTTCATAGTAACCGGAGGGAGCTGCAGATCTTTCTTTGAACTGCTTTGAACACTGCAGCCAAAGAGACACCGTAGTCTTACTCTCTTTTCGCTTGGGCGGGAGAGGGGCCGGATTGTGGTCGCCATGTTGGTGAAGGCGAACCAAGTCTCCTGGAGTTCCAGGATGGTAGACTCTGCTGGCTCAAGCCCGCCATCTTAATAAAGAAAGGGAAGATCGGGCTTCCCCCACACACCCCTTCTGCAACCCTGTTCCTACGACTCAACTCGGTGGACCTTTACTCTGCCTCACTAGTCCAGCCTCTGCCCTCAGGAAGCACAACTGTCATCGCCTCAGAAAAGGCTTAAGACATCGCCGAATGAGGGGAAAAGGGAAATGCCGACCAATTGTGCTGCGGCGGGCTGTGCAGCAACCTACAACAAGCATATTAACATCAGCTTCCACAGGTAACCTGGGCAGGGAGTGGGGATGACTTGTGGGAAAGCAACTGCAGAATCCCCGTCCACTGATAACTTCACTACCCAACGAGTAGCTGGGCAGCATCAAGTTTGCTCTTTGTGTGTGTTTGTTGCAGATCTGTAAACCGTCTCTCCCTGCGGGGAAGGTTTACCCACTTTCTAAAAGAAATCAAAGTACTGGACTCTAGAGTAAAAGTGACAAGTTGTTGTTAAGTGCCATCACGTCTGTTCCGACACATAGCGACCCTGTACAGGGTTTCTGAGGAGCGGCTGGTGGGTTTGAACCGTCGACCTTGAAGTTAGCAGTCCAGTGATTATCCTGCAGCGCCGTCCCAGGACTCCAAAAGTGGCAAAAGACCCAAATTTTCTACTCGTTTACGTTAGACTGTTCGTTGACACAAGTGATGCCGTGGGAGGGAGAGAGGTCTTCCTGATACAGCCCGCGGTGCCGGTCTACTGGGTCCCCCCTGAAATGAACTTCCCTTCCTAGCAGCAGTGGCCTGGGGAGCACCTAGGGGGACAGTGGGCAGACATGCTTACTCTGCCGAAGGATTCGGTCTTCACTGCTCGCCAAGCCGTCGGGCAACGTTAATGCAAGTACAAAAGGCACGCTTCCTTTCTTCCTAAAATAAAAGAACCGGAATTTTATTCTTTCTAACTTTGCTACAGGAGCAACCAAAGTACTTTAGTTCTCTCAAGTGAGAGAGAAACATCCTGAACAATGCCTGGAATATAATTGTCGTTGTTGTTGTTGTTAAGTGCCACCAGGTCTTCTCCTACTCCTAGCGACCCTGTAGAGAGCATTTCCAAGGAGCAGCTGGTGGGGTTGAACCGCCACCTTGCGGTTCAGATAGACCATGCGAGCCAGTGCTTCAAGCGCTTGTTTTGGGTAAGAGTTCTGTTTTTATACCACACAACATAGATGGTTTTGTTGTTGTTAAGTGCCATCTAGTCAATTCCGACTCATAGCGACCTTGTATAGTGTTTCCAAGGAGCGGCTGCTGAGTATGAACCTCTGACCTTGCAGTGCAAACCTACCTTGTTTATCCCACAGTGCCACACCAGCACTCCATATAGAATGTAGAAAATTATAGCTTTGACCATTTTTATACTTCATTATTAATGTGCCACTGTGTTAAAAGCTACACTTCCTGTTAAGTGCTGTTGCATGGGTTCATATCCTGTGTAGGGTTTCCAAGGAGCGGTGGCTGGTGATTTTCCACTGCTAACCTTGCAGTTCAAACCTACCTTACAGTCCAGTGCTTAACACTTCTCAAAAGGATGTAAAATTAAAAATGAGACCAAAGGACAAGATAAATTTGGTCCTCCATGCCATTTTGACTAGAGCCCTGGTGTGACACTGCGAGGTGATGCGCTGGACTGCAAAGTCAGGTGTATTAGCAGCGCGGCTCGTAACCACTACGCTACCAGTTGTAGAGGCTTGCAAATGCCCAATCTGTAGGTCAGACTAGAGGCATATCAACTTGCAGTTTCAGGGTTCACAATCCCAAAGTCAGCAGAGCAGACAGAAGACTGCTGGCTCACATCCCAAGAACTAGAAGTCCGAGGCTGAATAAGCAGAAGCAGAGTTCAGAGAAGGTGAGCATTATCAAAACATCCATACATATTGGATGCAGGTCACAGCCCCAAGGAAATGCCACTTTCAACTAATTGGCTATTCACATCAGATCATAAAATGGAGGAAGCTTACATAATATCTGCCAAACTCATGAGACTCAACCTGGCCTAGTTGACTACCTTAACTATCACATTCCACTCCTTGTCAGTTTAGCAACTGTATACATCTCTGTATACTACATAATTTCTAAATTAAGACAATTGTAAAGTCATGCTTTTACCTAACATGATAAAACTAATATGCATACAATCAAAAGCACACTAGCTCATTTACATCCTGTATTTTATAAGTAATAGAATAAGAGAGAGAAGAAAACAAATATATTTCACGTTGTTGCTAGACGACTTTGAGTTTGTTCCAGCTCCCAGCAACCTTATGCACAACAAAACAAAACATCACCTGGTCCTGCATCCTCACAAGCTGTTTGTTGTGTTTGAGCACATTGTTGCCATTGTGTCAATTCTTCTTTGGGGGCGAGGGGTCTTTGTCTTTTTTGGTGACCCTCCACTTTACCATGCATGATATTCTTCTCCAGGGACTGATCCCTTCTGACAACATACATATTCAAAGAGCCAGTGACCAAGTGTCATCATCCTGGTTTCTGAGGAACATTCTGGCTGTACTTATTTCAACACCAATTTGTTAGTTACTCTGGCAGCCCATCGTGATTTCAGTATTCTTCACCAGCATCATAATTCAAATGCATCTATTCTTCTATGGTCTTACTTATTCATTATTCAACTTTAACATGCATATGAGGCCATTGAAAATACCATGGCTTAGGTCAAGTTCACCTTAGTCCTCAAACTGACATCTTTGTTCTTGAATAGTTTAAAGGATTTTTTTTTTTTTTTTTTTTTTTGCAATAGATTTGCCTAATATGTCATTTGATTTCTTGACTACCGTTTCCATGAGTGTTGATTATGGATCTAAGCAAAATGAAGTCTTTGACAACTTCAATATAGTCTCCATTTATCATAGTGTTATTTATTGGTCCAGTTGTGAGGATTTTAATTTACTTTACATTAAGGTGCAGTCTATATAGAAGGCTGCAATCTCTGATCTTCATTAGTATCTTAAGTCCTCTCACTTCCAGCAAGGAAGAGTGTGATATCTACATATTGTAGGTTGTTAATGAATCTTCATCCAATCATGATTCCACGTTCCAGCTTCTCTGATTATTTGCTCAGCATAAAGAATGAATAAATATGCTAAAAGGATACAACCCTGGCACAAACAGTTCCAGATTTTAAACCATTCTGTATCCCCATGTTCTGTTCTTGGGCTATGTACAGTTTCCTCATGAGCACAAATAAGTGTTCTAGAATACCACTTCAAAATGTTATACATAGTTTGTTCTGACCCACACAGTCTAATGTCTTTGCATAGTCAATAAAGCACAAGTAGACATCTTTCTAATATTCTCTGCTTTCATCCAAAATCCATCTGGCATCATCAATGATATCCCTGGTTCCAGGTCCTCTTTTGAATCTGGCTTGAATTTCTCCCTGTTGATGTATTGCTATAACCACCTTTGAATTATCTTCATCTTGGTACTTCTGGTGTGGTTGTGGTTGTTGTTATGTGCCATGGAGTCAGTTCCAACTCATAGTGACCCTGTTCAGGGTTTACGAGGCTGGAAATCTTTATGGGAACAGAAAACCTCATCTTTCTCCTGCGGAACAGCTGGTAGTTTCGAACTGCTAACCGTGAGATTAGCAGCCCGATTCGTAACCACAGTGCTGTAGGATAAGTACAGGACTATAAGGTTGTTTTGAACCACAAGGTCCGCAGTTCAAACTCATCAGTCACTCCTCAGAAACCCTATTCTGGTTCACTATGAGTCCAAACCAACTTGACAGCGCTTAATAACAACAACGTTTACTTGATATTAATGATCTTGTTTGATGATGATTTCCATTCTTTTGGGTCACCTTTCTTTGGAATGGATGCAAATTTGTGAATTGAGTAAAGGTTTACAAAGCAGATCATCAGTTTTACATTCAACACATACCTTGCTTTATTACTATGATTGTAATCTCTTACATGTACTGTCAGTTAACGGTGTTTACCTCTATTCACTTTAACTTTTGCATTCCTCCTTGTATCTCCCACTACCTTCATCTTTCCTCTGCTAACAGCCCTCTTATATATTGCCTTCATCTCCCATGTTAACATGTGTCTACCCTCTGGCCCATAAATACTTTTACCTCCCCGCACATCAGAACCATCATTGTTGTTGTTAAGTGCCATTGAATCCGTTCTAACCCATAGTTACCCTGTATAACGTTTCCAAGGAGCAGCTGGTGAGCCTGAAATGCCTACCGTGTGGTTCAAACGACTGCAGTCCAGTGCATTAACCCACAGCGCCACACCAGGACTCCCATAACCGTCATACAATGTTTTTTTTAATCAAGAAAACATTTTAACTTTTTGCATCAGTGGTTTCCTGCAATGGTTGTCCTTTAGTACATTTGGCATAATGTCCTCCAGGTTCATCCATGTTATGAGGTGTTTTGCAGACTCATTATTCAACATTGCATAGTACTCCATTGTGTGTATATATTGAAATTTGTTTAACTATTCTTCTGCTGATGGGCATTTAGGCTGTCTTTTTTACTATTGTGATCTTATAGAGGGCATATTGGAGAATCCTGTTTTGTTATCTATCCTATTACTCTCTGTCTCTTGACTGAGACATATAAATTTAATCCATTTACATTCAGTATAATTGTCTATAAGTCTGAATTAACTGCTTTTATTTTGGAGTGTGTTGTTTTAGTGGTCTGCTGTTTTCTTTTTTCTCACATTAATTTTTTTTGAAGATTCAAGTAATTTATTTAAAAACAGCTTCGCTTCATCTTGAAATATATATTTGCTTTAGAATGGTCATATTTCAGCATGGTTCTCATGCACTTTATCTAAAAAAGATCAATCACACATAATTTTATGTGGTGAGTTCATTTTCTTTGTGGGTTTTCTTTTAATTTTCATTTCTATTGTGTTAAAGTTTACTATAATCTTTCTATTTTTCGTCTTTTATTTTGATATGAATGTATTTTCTGAGATTACTTTGTAGTTAATTTTTTCTTGTTTAAAACATCAGTCTGTTTTATCTTGAAATCAACTTGACTTTTCACCATTTGGAAGTTCTATATATTTCCTCTTTTTGCTTTGTTGTTAACTTGATTATAAATTGGTATCTCAAGTACCCTATTTTAAGTGTTATAGTTTTGTTTTACCTTAAATATTCTATATCTGGAGTGAGTTGGGGGGGGAGGTGCTTTTACATATGTTTAATCTCATACTGTCTGTTGTTGGTTCTTAATCCCAAAAATACCCTTTAGTA